GTAGCCAAATATATCCTAAAAAAACACAAAATAGGAATAAAACCAATAAGGCTAGAAAACAAAGAAAAACATGGATCAACGTGAAACTGAAAACTTAACAGAACGAAGACCGTGACAGTCAGCTGATACGGTTTTTATGATGGTTTTTAAATATCACAGATCTCTAGAAGACTACAAACCTGCCCATACCTGTTACCAGGGAAACGGCACAAACTTAAACTAACAGGAAAAAAGCAGGTCCGGTTTTCACTAAATGTCTTTTTTCTCTCTCTCAGATGGAATCAGTCACGAGTCTCCAGAACCAGCCAGAAGAGACGTGAACTCTGCTGGTCGGCACCGGTTTTCCATCCTGCTGCTCAGCTCCGCCCTCATGCTCCTGGCTGCCATCTTATCCTTATAGCGGCCAATCCCATGAGAAGACGCCTCATCCAGGGGAATGGACTGTCGTGATTGGGCCACAGGCCACCCTACCCTGCAACACCTCCCTCTCTTAAAGGAGCACTTTTAAAAAAATAAAAATCGAAATATCAAAATACCCAAAAACACTGAAGAGCACCTCTCTGTCTGAAAGGAGAGGAGAAGAGACTTCTGTAGCGAAGCCTTTGTTTGTTTGTTGGTAAAAAGCGCCGTGTAGTCCGGGCGAGGTGGAAGAGCCTCGCTGCGATTCACGGTATGCAGATACTTCACCGTTTCCTTGTGTTAAGACAAGCACACGGGCTTTATTTTGAAAATATACCCCCACAAGACACAATCGACACAATCAGAACAAAAATTTAGGCATCGGAGCACAGCAGGATCCTGGAAAAGTTTACAGCTTTTATTTTTCCGTTTGGGAACGCCACCATCGGGACACGACTAATAGCGGGACGAACGACGGCGACTGGAAGAAAGAGACTGCTGATGAGAGCTTGGTGCTGCGATGACTTAACCTTCCTCTCAGGTTAGAAAGGATGCATCGACGCAGACTGTGGAGCCGTTAACAGAAAGAAAAAAAAAGATTAAGAAAGCACTCATCTCTTAGCGTATGGACAGAATCGATTTAATGATCAATTAATGCATTTCTTTGTTGTTTTTTTTAATATACCATGTAATTGTAGCAGCCAACACGGGTGTACAGTAAAATATTTGAACGGAGAACAGAAGCGGACGAGGAATTTTGCCAGGCAAAATGTTATTTTCCTATTTATTGTGAAGTCCTTGTGCTTTTTTTTTCTGTTCTAGTTCCCTCTGTAAGTACATTTAGAGCCGCAATAAAAACAAAAACCATCACAGGATGTTAGTTCATATTACACCCTTGGTTTTTTTTTTAAAAAGAAGAAAAAAAAGAGCTTGTTTCTGTTTTGGAATGATGATATGTGATGGACTTAGTTGTTTCTAACAAAGGAAAAGGCAAAGAGAATGGTGCGCATCAGGGTGTAGAAAGCGAGTATTTGTGTTTTGCATTTGCCACAGATGAATGTCACAAATGTAGTTTTGCTGTTACACTATTGTTTTTTGTGCATCACTATTTACACTGCTATTGTAAATACAGGCAAATTTAAAATTCAGGGATGTATCCATGCCGAACATGAGATCAATAAAAGGAGCAACTTTTTATTGCAATCTGGAGGAAAATCCCCCCCCGTTGATTAATTCAATGTACGATACCCAGCTGGGGCAAGTTTCCCAAATAAAGATAAAGGTGGGGGAATAATGTTTCACTAAATTCTTTTCTGTTTGCTTATTGTCTTTTTTGTCAGCAAAATTAGACGAAAGCATTCAAGATGGACTCAATCTGGAGGGTTTGGGATTTAACATCTCTAAAAATAATAAACACGTTCAGCCTTGTCCTCAACTATTTGCACTCTTCGTAAAGATTCAATAAAAATGTTATTACTCAAATTAATACATTTTTTATTGCAATGTCATAATCTGATAGGAAAAAAAAATAGAATTATTAGCTTTGATTTAGAATTCAATTCTAAAATATTTGATTTTTTTTCTTTGCTTTATTTATTATCAACACTAATCTGAGAAAGCCTCCCCTTCAGGAAATAATGCGGTACCCAGTCAGTGCCAGGTGCAGAAATAAAAACATATGTGGGGAAAGTAAACTTCCAGCAATGTATTTGGACGATTTTAACACATAGATTTTCTAACTCATTTTCATCTGCTCTAAAATTCACTAAAATGATAGAATTCCAAGTTAAAGATACAGTATCTATGAAACAGACACATGAATAAATCATATATGGTGAGCAAATACTTTTGGCAATATAGTGTATATATATATAAAAAAAATGGAATCAAAAAAATGTTTTTACAACATCATCAGCTTGAATATTTTTGAAAACATCATCCTTTAACTTTAGCATATTTTTCGAATGGAAAATAAAATTGAAGAAATATTTTTTTAAGTTTTGGTACTTTTAAGAATTTGATTAAATTTAATTTTAACAATCGATGAGAAATTCCCATGGATTCATAGAAATATGGCACTCAGTTAGTGCCAGTTAGAGAAATGTGTTCATTTGGATTTGCAAAGGTAATTATTCCAATTAGCTGTAAGAACAGATTAATGTTGGAACTTTCTATGTTAGTTTATTTTTTGTTGGCAAACACAAAAATAGCATTTTATGTTAACTGAAGTTAGCTAGTTTTATCTGTTAAATAAAGGCTATTTTTTAAATGAAAAACACATTTATCAGCCTCTATAGCGATTGGCACCATTAGTAGGTGTACAGAAATGTAAGTAATCTGTTGCATCACTTTATTCTTAAACTGTTTTATTGTGGAAAACATTTTTTTTTTTTTAAGTAATACAAAAAAAAAATCATAAGTGATAAGAACAATAAATCTCAATTACTGCTGCCAAAATCATAGGTTGACTCCTAATCCAAAAACCAAAGAAATATTTTCCTCATTAAATAAAAATGCTTCAGTAGATTTTCTGTATATTATTTAAATTATTTATTCTTAGGTTAGACAGTTTGAAAGAGGCATTTTTCTATTAGCTACTCTTCAAGCTAAGACAATAGAGCACGTCTTTCCAATAAGGCAGATAATAGGTTAGGAAATTTAGGCGGGAATTTATTGAAAGTATTAAAATAAAAGGCCTAATGTTTGAAAATGAGTAGATTAATAACAGTAGGGACCAGAGAATAGAGCCTTGAGGAACTCCTAAATTTACATCTGTGAATCTAGAGTCGAACCTTCACACTGGAAGACCGATCTAGAAATAAGTTTTAAAAATGTCTTAAATTAGGTGTTTTTACCCTTAGTTAGAGTAGCTAAATGAGATAGTTTGCCAATGGAATGAGTATTTTTACTCTTAAAATAAGATAATTAAATAAGACAATGCATTTGTATTTTCTTTTTTTAAGTGTAAATTGTCTTGTTCTATTGGCAAAATGTCTGTTTTTCCTCCTCAATCCAAGAACAAATGCACTTATTGTAAGAAAAAAATGACTTATCTAGATTTCGTTTTTTTTCCTGCATTTTTAGATCACCAGATATCTTTACCATCAACTAATTTTAAATTATTTTAACAAAATATGTTAACAAATATGGAGGACACTATTCTTTCTTACCATTAGTACTCAAAAATCCGATAAGTTACAACTTAATTTTAATGTGTGTATCCTTTCTTCTATCCTTTGTTAGTTTTTAATCTACACCTGGCACTAAATGGGCTCCGTACAGAGTTAGATCTATCAGTGAAAACTATGTACCAAGCAGACAGCAGAGGTACGCATCGAGTTTCTGGCTGAGTGATTCAGTTTCTCTTTGATGTTGGGTAAAGTGACGTCTGAACAGAAAATACACCATGCACACCGGTGTAGCAGTTATTTCTGGAATGAAAAATTGACCCCCAGAGAAGAAGGAAAACACAGAGGGTGCTTGATGCAATCTGACCCTCTACTAGTGTTGGACCTGAGAGGAGAAAATGAGGCAGTGGGACACGTGAGGAGAGCTTTTTAATGCCACAATATGTGCATATTTGGTCAGCTGGGTTTGGAAAAAGCCTCGTGGTAAAAATCTTTGCTGACTGCTCCTTGCACAGAAGCGTTAGGGCCACTGTTAAAGTAAAAGAAAAAATAATAATCAGAGCAGGAATTAATTATAAATGTAAATTTATTAAACATCATAACCTATTCCAATTTACAATATTACCTGCTAAGAATATTGAAAGAAAAACATTACAAAGAAAATCCAGGGAATCATTTTTTACTAGAGAATGTAAATATGGTGCATATAAATAAAAGGTAATTTTTACAGATCTGGATCATCTTAACAATTTTCAAGGACTTTATTGTTTTGCTCCAAAATAACTTTTGAAAATTATAGCAGTATGAATGTTTTTAAATGATAAATTCAAATGAAATCTGTGTTTATTTAACACTAATGTAAGAACTGTTATTTTTTAAAGTTATCTCTTTACACCAGCTTATAGAAGTTTAGAAAATCAGAAATTCCCAGTGAGGAGTCAAACGGAAGACACTCAGAGATAAATATTTACCTCCTGAAATAATTCAAAATAATACTTTTTTTTAATTGACTATTTTATCTGGTCTTTTAACCAAGCTGCTTTTTACATGGTTACAGTTTAAATAAGTGCTCTATTGCATAACTAAATTGTAAAAACTACTAGTCAAATTAGATTATTGGAATTGTCTAAATTTTTTATTTGCTAGTATTTTATTATGGCTGCTAGCTTGTCCCTAATTAGCTGTTAGCATGACTTTAGCATGCCCATCGATACCAACTGTTCACAAAAGAACAGTCTTTACTATACTTCAGCGTTGTTTTATATATTTGAATATAACTGCAGTCGTTTTTGGTTTCATTGCATTTGTATAAATAGTGTCAAAACAAGAAGATAACAAAAATTCTTGGTGCAATCAAATTTTTGTTAGCTTCTGCTCTGAACATGTGTGGTGATGATGTCATATTAGCAATGTGAGAAAAAGGATGTAAATGCATCCATTCTCTTTGCAAAGTTGTTATTAACGTTTTACACAATTTAGTTTAGTAACCTTTTATCATAAGGATTCAAATCATAACTTTTTTTACCATTTCCTAAAGAGAATCGCGGAGTGGCGGTCTAGTGGTTAGGGCATAGAGCTTGGAATCCAGAAGTTCCGAGTTCAAGAACCACTCCCAAGACTCTTAACCCCTCACTGCTCCCCGGGCGCCGCACAATGGCAGCCCACTGCTCCCCAAGAGGATGCGTTAAATGCAGAGAGTTAATTCCTCTAATGTGAGATTAATAAAGTTCTATTATTATTGTTAATATTAATCCAGTGGAAGGTGAGGTGTTTTTTAAACCATGTGTTTCCACCGCAGACCGGGTGGAAAAGCGTGGCGTGTTGAGCCTCTGTTAAGAATGCAACCAAAAATTCATCCAGGTCACCATTAAATCTTTAAATACTTCACTGAAAGTACTTATTTCTATTCTTAAATCACAAAACACTCTTTACTACGTCATATAAAATATCAATAATGACTTTGTGCAGAGAACTGATGCGTTTTTCCACATTATTGCTTATCTGACATCATCATCGGACATGCATTTAGAGGTCATTTGAAACATGATTGTACCATGTTTATTTCCATTTTAGTTGTCTTCATATTATGGAATATGTACTATCAATTTACATAGAAATGCAAATATTCAACCAAAAATTACCACAAATATATTACAGACAGGATTTCATTTTTAGGACAGAAAGAGTAGATGTGATTTAACACAATAGATATAAAGGTATTTCTTTTTTTTTTGTGATAGAAATAAATCATTTCGGTCCTTTCTCATGAAGTGAATTCGATGGCGACTTATTTCTGTGAATTCGCAAATAATATGGTGGTACTGGTTGTGCTCCTGGTACAGATTGGATAGTGATGAGCCCCTAGCTTAAGTAGCTTTTAGCTTGACTCTGAATAGCTTTTCGGTCTTCCTCTGATTAGCGGGTTGACCTCTGTGTTGACTTGATAAACTCTATACCTACCATGTTACCATTATCTACCATTATTTTAGCAACCCCATAGCTAAAGTATTCAAACTAGTGAGATAAACTTTGATTACTATTAGCTTACCGCTAAGGGGTGTTAGCCAGCTAAGCGTAGCTTTGAGGCTAATTATGAACTTGACTCCACCAATAGGAATTTTTAAGTGATTTTCTAGTCTAAGATGACAAAACAGGTGTCTAGTTTAAATAAGACCAAATATATACTAAATTGTTTCAAAAAAAACATTTTAAATTAGTTTTTATTTAACCTTTAACAGTGGCCCTGGCTCTTCATTTTAGCATAAGCTAGGTGTTTTCAGAGGGAAAACTTTTTTTATGCCCACTCTTTATGGTAATTTGATTAACGTCTCCAAAACTGAGAACTGCTTCTTTTTAAAACAGTAAATCAGAGCCTTTATGTTGTTTGGTAAACTGAAGCTGATGAGTAAAACCACTGGAGTTCCACTTTAACATGTAATTCAAGATGTCTTTTACTAATAGGCCTTCAGAGTACAACATTTGGAGCTGATTTTGTTTGTTTTAACTGGGTAGAATTATCGCCTTCATCTGTCAGCGACCTTATTTTAGTCTTTTTTTTTCCTTACATAGATGTAA